CAAATGGAGAGTGCTAGGGGAACCTGAATTTCCATTTTGAAAGAGGACAGGGGAAGGAGATGAAAGAAAAGAGAACTGACTAGATGAAAGAAAAGAGAACTGACTAGTACTTTGTGACCTTGATCTTACTATTTAGGGCATACCATTCCATAAATGTGATCTTCTACCTCCAGAGTAGCATACTCAATAACTTCCCTTCCCTTCCCTGACAAACATCAAAAAGGGAGCCCCAAAAGCCTTCTCCATTTCTGCAAGACAATATAATAGATGAGTAAATGATATATCTTTCTCATCTGCCCTACAGTTAAAACAGCGTCAAAGGCTGTGCCCCATGGTCAACTCAAAGGGGCTGAAGTTCGACGCAGAGCTTTTTGGTTGTTAAGTTCTGCCGGATTATTGTTGATATAGCCCCCGTTTGTTTTCCATTCTTTACTCATTAAAATTAAAAATATGACCGTTATCCATCACATCAAGCCACCAAATTTGAATTTTTATCTCTTGTGTGGGGTCCGATTATATTTTTCATTCTCATTCTTCCATAAATGAGAAACAAACGAACATAATCATAAAAAACTAATTTTTCAGTGCCTTTTTTTTTTAATAGAGGAACAATTTCCTTGTTTGAGAACTGCTATTCATGTACTATTCCTCCCTGCTAAAAAGAGCAATTGAGAATCTCAAGATTTGCCGTCGTACTGAACCTTTTTACTTTCAACCATATTAAACATAACTAATTCAGGGCTCATGTTTCATATATGTTGATGTTAACAGTATTTTATATCTAATTGGTGTTCCCATTAGTTTAGGGATTTATAAACAAACTCAAGTAGTTAGAGTCTACCCTAATTTGAAGAGACTTCAGTGCCACATCTTATGATTTATGAACGAGTTTAATAGGATATGTCTATACTTACAATCCTTTTAAACATTGTACCCTCATGCACTTTTTCATTGACTAATGTGGTCATAGTCTCGGTTCTTGGGAAATGGTCTCACAAAAGCGTAGATATTGTAATTTTTTTCCTTTTTGCTCTTCTTTTCTTCTCAGGTAGTTCTTCTGGCACTTGAGGTGCATGCATGCATAGCCAAAGACGACAAGCACTTCGTCCAGCTCCTTGTATTTTTAGTTCAAAATTTTCGAGTCGATAATTCTCTTCTGGAGAAGTAAGCTTTGTAGTTCTGACTTATCTCGTCATGATTTTATCTGATATAGTTATATAGTGGATTAAATCCTATTCTTATTTCTCTTGCAGACGTGGTGCTCTGATAATTCGCCGATTGTGTGTACTATTAGATGCTGAAACAGTTTACCGAAAGCTATCTACAATTCTTGAAGCAGAATCTGATTTGGATTTTGCATCTATTATGGTTCAGGTCATTACATATTACCTAATCCAATAAAAGGAATGCTAGTGTGTGATATGTTTTATAACTGGATCATATATATTGGTATCTTTTTTAGCTTCAGGTATCAACTTATCAATCATCATATATGCCATTTTTCGTGGGAAGAACTAGTACGTTCTTGTATTTAATGACTCATTTTTGCACATTCATTTCTTATTAGGCTTTGAACTTGATTTTGCTCACTTCGTCTGAGTTGTCTGGCCTTCGTGACCTCCTCAAACAATCCCTGTTCAATGATGCTGGGAAAAAATTATTTCTTGCTTTATATGCCTCATGGTGCCATTCTGCAATGGCTATAATAAGCCTTTGTTTATTAGCTCAGGTAAGACCCTTGTGCTTGAAGGCTTCCCATTCCTATCTCCTTGTCAATTGTCATGTATAATATAAGACTCGGGATTTGCCACCTATTTTTGGTTTTTTCTTTCCAGACTTACCAGCACGCGAGTTCCGTCATTCAATCTCTGGTTGAGGAGGATATCAATGTTAAGTTTTTAGTCCAGTTGGATAAATTGATCCACCTTTTAGAGACTCCTACATTTGCTTACCTTAGGCTACAGGTAATAGTAGTTTTTTGAATAGCACACGTGGTTGTCGATTAGTCTGCTAGATTTATTCATGTGCTGATGATCTATAATAATTTTTTACTTAGTATGTACAAATACTAGGTCGATTATGAATTCTTACTGACTTCTGTATATTAGACAGGATTGAGGTTCCTTTGTGATTAATGTCTAGTTTCCATCTAAGTTGTTTACCATCCTGCTGACAATATTCTATTGTTAAAGTGGATTAAATTTATTCTAAGCAAATGTGTTAGAGGTGTTGGAATATAGAATATGTTCACGAGATGGAATCCAGAGGGAGACAGTTTAGAAAGTTCAATCTTATCTAAATTGTTAGGCTAGCTAGTTTATGAAATTAAATTTGTTTGAAAATAATTGAAACTAAAGATCATAAGGAAATTAACGTAGCAAATTGAAATGAGAATTTAAATTACCAAGGGTTTAACTTCATAATCTCTAATCATTGAGTAATTCCCAAAATTGGATTGAAAACTCGAAATCAATCTATTGTCATCTCATAAATCTAACAATGAATGCAAGTTAAATAAATCCGAGACAGGTCCTTATCTTCATTTGATTGATTGTCTTAATCTAATAAAAAGACATAATCAAAGTTTTCATGTCCAAAGAATTCTACTGTCAATTATAATGAAAAGAAGACAAAGAAATGAAATTACCATAAATATTTAAGGAGCCTAGCATGGATTAGTTAAATGAATTGCTAATTATAAAAAAATTACCTATGCTAAAGATGAAAGAACATCCAATTTAATTGTCTGGAGAAGCTAGAACCATCAACATTTAAATGCGTGTAAATGAAATTGGGACAATA